TTTGCCTGTTTTGACAACATTTTGCCTTGAGATAGGGTGTTGCTAAGTTGCCCGGCCTGGACCTGTACCTGCAATCCTCCTTCCTTAGCCTCCCAGAGTTTTGTGATACAGATATGAGCTGCCATGTCTGATTGCTATTTTTTTTTAAGAGAGAATATATCTTGCTGTGTTGCCCAGGCTCACCCCACACTCCTGGGCTCAAATAATCCTCCTGCCTCAGCCTCTTGAATAATTGGGACCATAGGCACATGAATCCTTCTGCTCACAGCCCCCCAAGCAGACACCACACCATCATCTCTGACCTAGGCACCTGCTGTGTGCACCTATTGATCACTTGAAATGTAGCTGGTATGAGGGCCTGCATTTTTCATTTTCTTTTAATGAGTGTAAATGTAGAGAGTTCTAGAAGCAGACATCAGAGACTGGGGTGTTACCCTGTGTGTGGCTGCCTGGACCTAAGTGACTGCAGCCACGGGGCACTTGTTTCCTGTCCCTCAGGTGGCCACTGAGTGCCACTGTGCCTGCCCTGCCTTTTCTCTTGCAGAACTTAGGTCTGCAGTGCACCAGGACCTCTGGGTGCAGTGCCAGCTGCGCCGCTGTCTTTTGGGCTCCTCTTGTTACCCTCTCTGAGCCCTTGCCCCAGCCCCTCCCCAGCACAAGGATGAGAGGGGAACCTGTTGTCTGCACCCATTGGAACTTGCTGTTTATTTTATTTTTTTCAGTACCGCAAATTGAGCCCAGGATCTTTGCACTCTGAATCACATCCTCCTTTTATAGTTTTTGACACAGGGTCTTGCTAAGGCTCTGGGTCGCCCAGGCTGAGCTGGAACTTGCAGTCCTCCTGCCTCATTCTCTGACAGGCATGTGCCACCCCATCTGGCTCCTCTGTTTATTCTCAGAGTTGGGTGCAGCTAGGAGCAGTGCACATACCTGTCATCCAGTTACTCAGGGGGCTGCAGCAGGAGTATCCTAAGGTCAAGGATTTCTGTGTTTCTTTGCTCTGCCAGGACCCCGTGGAGCACCAGGCTGTCCTGGGCGTGGCGTTTGTGACGCTGGCTGTGTTCGTGGCTCTCTATGTGCTGGTGTACATTGAGTGCCTGGTCCGACGGTGGCTCCGGGCCTCAGCGCTGCTCACCTGGGCCTGCCTGGTGACACTGGGCTATGTGCTGGCCTGGACCTCGTGGAGGAGGGAGGCCTGTGCGTGGGCGCAGGTAACTGGGCGGGTGGGAGCCTCTGCACCACAGCCTGCTGCCTGCATTGGGTGCTGTGGGCTGTGACTAGGACAGGCCCTGGACTGCTTCTGTCCTCAGCTGTCTGTACTGATGGGGCTGGGGTGGGAGGAGCATCCATTCGGAGGGAGACCACAGCATGTTGGGGGGACCCCCACTTGGTCAGAGGATGGAGCTCCAGCTCAGAGGATAACAGGCACCAACTAGCTCCTGGGCCTTGACCTGGGAGCCCACAGGGTAGCCAGACCCTATTACTCCCAACTCTGCTTTCCTCTGCTGGTTCTTCCTAGGAGACGGTGGCAGTGGTGGCAGGCGGTCTTCACCGGGTTACCCGCCCCCAGCTGAGAGAGGGCTCCCTCTCAGCTAGCTTGGGTCCCAGGCTTGGCTGTGTATAGCGGGCTGTGGCCCTGGTCTGTGAGCCGCTCCTATGGCTGAGGACGGAGAGACTTGTGAAACCCTGTAGCTGAAGGCCGGAAAGGGCGGGTGCAGGGCTTGCGGGGCCTGAGGGTGCCCAGCTCACAGAGTCCCACCACCGACAGCATGTAGGAAACGAGGACTGGTGCAGGCCAGGTCTTTGTGCTCGCTGTCTGGCCATAGGGAAGAGAGATGATGGGCTGCCCAAGGACAGGGCCCTGAGAGAGCTGTCCCCAGGAGACCAGAGGCTGTGGGGGCCTCAGCTCCTCCTTGGGCCGTGTCCAGGCCCAAGCTGTGTGGCCAACCCTGGGCTCCTGACACCCTGTCTCCAGGTACCCTTCTTCCTGTTTGTGGTCTTCGTGGTGTACACGCTGCTCCCCTTCAGCATGCAGGCGGCTGTCGCTGTGGGTGTGGTCTCCACCGTCTCCCACCTTGTGGTGTTCAGCATCCTCACGGGGGGCTTCATGGTGCCCAGCACTGGGGTGGGGCTGCAGGTGAGCAGCAGGCTGAGGGCCAGGTTGGGGTGGGTGGTCAGAGTGATTAGAACCTGAAGACCTGGGGACTAAGCTTGCAGACAGGCTGGGCTTCCTCCAAGTCTACTGGGGACCTGCCTGAGGTGGGCCCTGTCCTGTGCTGCTGGCCCAGGGTGCCCCTGTTGGGGGGGTTCCTGCCCCTGAGTCTCCCTGAGGTCCTGACTTGATGGGCTGGGGACATGGCCCTGGGCACCACATCTTGTGCCTGCGTGTTGAGGAGACTTTTGCTCACGGTCAGTGGGACCATGGAGATGTCTAGGAGGACTCTGTGCCTCTTATCAGCCTGGGTGCCATTCCCAGGTAGAGACCCTAGGCAGCCACTCTGCCTTCCTCCTCCTGTGACTGCTGTTGGATCGGTGAGATGGCTGCTTCTGCCTCCTTGGAATTGTCTGGCCTCCATGGCCTCCAGTGCCCAACTCCTACTGGACAAGACAGGTGCCCAGTGGACTAAGAGAGGGCCCGGACCTGGACCAGTGGTCACAGAGCCGCATGAGCAGACCAGCCCCTGTCTGGACCTCAGTTTCTCTGCCTTCCCCAGGAAGAATACCAACAGCCAGGGAATGGGAAGGGGACCTGTCCCCATTTGCCCAGGGGGCTGGGGCCAGGGTGGGGTAGACATGCCAGGCTGAATGACCTGCCCTTGCCCACCCTCAGCTGCTGGCCAATGCTATCATCCTCCTCTGCGGGAACTTGACAGGCGCTTTTCACAAGCACCAGATGCAGGATGCCTCCCGGGACCTCTTCACCTACACAGTCAAGTGCATCCAGATCCGTAAGAAGCTGCGCATTGAGAAGCGCCAGCAGGTGAGGACCCTGCTCCCCCGGTGGCCATGCCTGGCCCCTGCCCAGTCTTTCTGCCTCCCAGGAGACATCAACTTCTTGTCGAGCTTTTGGTGCACGGGGTCTGTCATAGTCAGTGTACAATGGCTGGGACAAAATACCTGACACATTCAACCTAACAGGAGATTTATTTGGCTCATGGTTTCAGAGGGTTCCATTAGTGCTTAGCCGACTTCAAGGCAGAATGGCACAGTGGAGGCGTGTGGCGGAGCCAAGCTGCTCACCTCATGGCATCCAGGAAGTAGAGTAGGAGGAGCTGGAAAGAGGGACCCACCTCCTCCACTCAGGCCCTGCCTCCACCGAGGCTGTGCCTCCTAACAGCACAGTGAGCATAGTAGTGGGTTAATCCACTGGTAAGTATAGCATCCTCAAGGTCCTACTACTTTCCAAAAGCCCCACCTTGGACACATGAGACTAGTGGTGACTTAAAATCTAAACCATAACAGTGTGCATGGCTGTACACCCCACAGGCCCCACTCCTGGGGTCTCATACAGACATGAGAAGCTGTGTGCCCAGCTGGGTTAATGCTGGACATAAGCCAGTAGAGAATGAGCCAGCATCGTGGCAGACTGGGAAGGTGAGCAGGGAGAACAGAGGCCAGACACCACCCTGACTGACCCGCCGGTCCCCTTAATGGTCTGCCTACCTGTCCCCAGGAGAACCTGCTGCTATCAGTGCTGCCAGCCCACATCTCCATGGGCATGAAGCTGGCCATCATTGAGCGGCTCAAGGAGGGCGGGGACCGCCGTTACATGCCTGACAACAACTTCCACAGCCTCTATGTCAAGCGGCACCAGAATGTCAGGTGCGTGGTATCCCCTGGAGCGGAGCTGTCAGTTCCAGCCAGGCAGGGTTGGAAGGTTTAGGGCTGGAAGGTGTAGGGTCTCCTCCCTGGGGGAAGGATCAGGTCAGCTTCTGAAATAAGAGAATCAAGTTGGTGGTGGGGAAGATCCCTTATCCCCCCAACAGGAGGTGAACCCCTGCCCTGCCCTTGTCTGGGGTTGATCAGAAGGGTTACAGACTGTCCTGTGAGTGCACTGAGCTGAGTTAGTCCAGCTGTGAGTGCCATGAGCACCCCCACTCCCAGTCTGCATGAGCCTGAGGTTAATGCCCCTCTGACCTCTCTCTGGGCAGTGAACCAGCCTGGAGATGCAGGTGGCAGGGCAGGGAGACATGGTGGGAGTTACCGCTCTCCCCGAGCCTCAGTCTGCCCATCTGTAGATTGGGTATCCTCTAAGCCTGAGGAAGCAGGAGTAGCATCTGACTGGGGACTTTAGTTCTGGTCTTGCATAGGGCCAACATCTGGGTACAGGAAGGGAGCAGGGTCCAGAGCTGCCCCCCAGCCCGATCTCCATCAGCAGTGGTGGGTCTGCTACTGCCAAAGTTGACTCTGCTGTCATGAGGAGCCTCTGCAACTTGCCTTGTCCCTGTGGAGGCTGAGGGGGGCCCAAGGCCGGCGGGACCTCACAGGGCCCTGGCCCGCCCCCAGCATCCTGTATGCAGACATCGTGGGCTTCACGCAGCTGGCCAGCGACTGCTCCCCCAAGGAGCTGGTGGTGGTGCTGAATGAACTCTTCGGCAAGTTCGACCAGATCGCCAAGGTGAGCCTGGCTGGTGCCACAGCTCTGGAGGTAGACTGGGGCCCTTGGCTGAGTTTTAGCTCTCGAGACTCCAGGCAGAGGTGGGCTTGGGCAGTGGCCAGGGCAGCCGGCATCCTGTCTCCCTCACACCGTGTGCAGTTGGCAGGGAGGCTGCAGCACACGTCTGGGCTGCTTGGGGCTCAGGGGCTCGGGCAGAGCACTCGGCCCCTGCAGGAGGTGGCGCCCTCCTCCCTATGCGGAGCCTCACCGGGGAGCCACGAGGACTGAGGATGCTCTACCTCACCCAGAACCTGCTTTTCGCAAGATGCCAGGTGAATCCTGTGCACAAAAGAATTTGAGAAACCTAAAAAGATCCGAAGAGTGCCAGGAATGGTGGTCTGGGTGGGGGAACAGCGTGTGGAGAGAGAGCTGTGTGCTCCAGAGTGACCTGGAGCTAGGTATTCAGGGGACAGGGACACAGGGCGCAGTGGCTGAGCCCAGGAACAGGACTTGTTCCAGTATACTGAGGAGCATGGCAGGTACCAGACAGGATGGGGCCCGGGGTAAGGAGGGTTTTTCATTCATTTACCCAGTAGCCCAAGACCTCCCGGCGCCTGTGAGCCTGGGCCTGGCCTTAGGTTGCTCTGTGCTTCAGAGGAAGTTGAGGGTTTGGGAGCCCGGGGAGCATCCAGCCCGGCCACAGGTGGTCAGGGCAGGCTTCCTCAAAGCAGCGGCTGCCCAGTGGGGACTGAAGGGTAGGTTTAAGGCAGTGGCTCCCTCTCCTGGCTACACATGGAAATCACTTGGAAAGCTGAGACACCGGTGCTGGTTCCCACACACCCATCAGAGTTTCTAGGAGCCCCAAGATGACTCTGGGGAGAGTCAGTGTTCCAGAACTTGATGGGAGAAAGCTCAGGCCCCACCCTGTGAAGAGTTTTTTCATGGTCAGAGATATTTAGTCCTGGGAAGAACTGCCTCCCAGGAGTGGGCTCCCTCTTGTGGGGGTGAGCTCCCCATCTCAGGGGGTAACCAAACAGTGTAGGGCACCACTGGCCAGGACATTCTGGAGAGCTGTCTTTTCCTGGGCTTTGTGAACTGAGAGGCTCAGAGGCCCGACCAGTCTGGAGCCTTTGTTCAGGAGCTGTGTGGCTTCGGAGCCAGCAGGTGGGAGGACCCAGAGATTGGGCCATATGTGAAGCAAGGAGGGAGTGTAGTTTCAGGTCACAGCTGGCTCTTTCCTGACAAGAAGCCCACAGACCTGCCCGTGTCCTTGTTGGCACAGTCCTCCCTCCCCCGAGGGTTTCCTGGGCATGGCTCCATTGTTTCTATCGGGGAGAGAAGCTGGGCAAGTACAGCCTCCTGTGTGGGCATCCAGTGTCCTGGTAAAGACAGGCAGGAGGACCCAAGCCTTTTTCCCTGTCACTGATCAGACCCCGGAACACCCACCTCTGCCCAGAGTCCAGGGCCTCAGGAACCTGCCCTCCAACCTCCAACTGTTAGGGACACTGAGGGCCAGTCAGCTGTGGAGAAACCGCATAGGAATGTAGCCTCCCCTAAATCCTTGAGGGATGGGGTAGGCTGAGGTCAGTCATGTGTCTGCTTGAGAGGATGTCAGGGGACCTGCTGGGCGTCCAGTTCCTCTCTAACACCCGCTCTCTACTAAAGCCACTGTGCCCAGCATGTGCCTACCAGGGCCAGCACAGGACATGTGCAGACTGGCACAGTATAACAGGGCATCCACAGGGCTATGCAGGGACACGTCAAGAAAAGGCTGTGAAATGCCAGGGCATTGGGTCAGTGACACCAGACAGTCACCCCCAGGCCAGGGGGAGGCTGAGAACAGGCTAGGGCCCTGACCTAGGACAGCTGGTCCAGCAGCATGGCAGCCTGAGCCACTCTGCAGGAGGGTGCTAGGGGGTCAGGGCAGAGGGCATGGCTGCTGCTAGGACCCAGGAACCAGGGTCAGTGAGCAGGCACAGCAGGGCTGCAGGTCAAAGACTTGTGTCTGCATGAGTCTCCTCAGAGTCCCTGAAACCTCATTCATAAGACGTGGGTACAGGTGGCCACCCTTGCTGAGGGCTGTGGGTGGGGCACACTGGAGGCCAGAGAACTGCCTCACATTGGACCTAAATCAGCACCCTTGGGCTCCTTGGGTTTTTTTCTCATGAGGACACAGCCTCTCCCTTCTCTGGCTCTCCCTCTTTTCCACTCAGTCTCCATTCCCCAAAGCCTAGCAGCATGGCAATCGCTAGGCTGAACTTGACACCTGCCAACTCTGGTTTAGGGCACTTGCTACCTCTCCTCCCCCACCCTGGCTGCTTGGTGGTCTTGCTGGCCTCAGGGCCTTTGTGTGTCCCTGGAACGCTCTTCCTTCCAAGCTCTGGCGTGGCTTGCTTGCTCCACTCCTTTGGGTCTTTGCTCAGATGTTACCTTCTGCAAGCAGCCTCTGGCCTCCTGGACACTTACTCTCCCTTCAGGCCTCACTTCCTCTAAGTACTGTGCACCACCCCCAGCCTCCTTCCAGCACCAAGGAGTTCACATTGGTCTCATTGGCTGCTCTGTCTCACTGCCTGGCTCTGCACCAGGTACAGAGTTGGGTACTCAGATGCGGCCTGGTAAAACAGAGCAGAGCCCTTAAGAACACCTGTGCTGATCCCTGGACGCTTAGTTGGGATTCCTCCAGTGTCCTGGGGGCCCTAGTCCGGCCAGGCTCAGAAGCAGCAGGTGGGTGGTGAGAGGGTGGTTCGCTGGGCTGTGTGGCCTCAGACTCCCCACCAACCAGGCCTCTCCCTGGCAGGCCAATGAATGCATGCGGATCAAGATCCTGGGCGACTGCTACTACTGTGTGTCGGGCTTGCCCGTGTCCCTGCCCACCCACGCCCGGAACTGTGTGAAGATGGGGCTGGACATATGCGAGGCCATTAAGTAGGTGCAGGGGCTGAGGGCAAGTAGGGATGCACCGGAGGCGGGGAGCAGGGTGGCTTAGCTCCCTCAGCGAACTCTGCTCTGTGGCTCCCTTCGGCCTCTGGCCTCGGATCTCAGAAGCTCAGAGCTGATGATGTGAGAATGGCAAGCTCCACGCCATTCCTCCTAGGACCAAGTTTTAGCAGCAGCCTGAGGGGGGCTCCGGGCAGGCAGCAGGAGGACTTTCTGAGTCAGGTGCTCCCAGAAGCTCCGAGTCAGGGACTGGCCCTCCGGCTGCAGGGAGACCCTGGGCTCCTTCCCACAGGCCTCCTCTCCCTACTAGGTCCTCTGGGCTCTGTGGGGAGGACGCCCCTGGGGCCAAGCTGGCAAGGCCAGGTGGCTTGGCCATGGCAGGGCTGCCTGTGGCTCCCAGGCGTCCTCCCAAAGCTCCCGAAGCCTCGCTGAGCGGCCTGTGCTGCTGGGAGAGTCACCACAAGGGAGCCAGAAGGGGTCCGGAGCTGGCTCAGCACCACTGCCGGCACGACCTTGGCAGTGTGCCCAAACCTTGTGCAGGTGCCCTTTTGCTCCCTGGCTCCAACCCATCCCGGTCCTGTTGGTGGGCATGTGGTGCCAGCTGTACCCTATTCCTCACATGCTGTCAGCAGATTCAGAGGTACTCATGTCTGGGCTCTCTCGGGCCCCTGGAAGTTCTAATTTGGGGCCCTTTGTGTCTAGTGATGCCGGAGATGTCCAGGGCACCCCAGGGCACGTCTCTTGTCTCTGCTGTCTACCAGGGGGTGTCCAGGCCCTCTATGCACCCTGACAGCCTTAGTAGGGATACCAGGGATGCATTTGTAGGCCCATTGATCTGAGCTACTGTGACCAGAGCACTGGGTCCTGCTCTTTTCTGCCCAGCCCTTGAGCCTGGAGCGGGCCATGACATTTGTCGTTCTTACAGACAAATGCTCCATGTTCTCTGAGGAGGTGCTTTACCAGGCTGCCCATCCTCCACGCCTGCCCGGACCTGGGACTGCCACCTGTCCCTGAGTGTAGGCTGCCCTGTGGTCCAGCCAGGGTGGGATGACTGCACTGCTTTGTCCCAGGCAGGTGCGGGAGGCCACAGGCGTGGACATCAGCATGCGCGTGGGCATCCACTCGGGGAACGTGCTGTGTGGGGTCATAGGACTGCGCAAGTGGCAGTACGACGTGTGGTCCCACGATGTGTCCCTGGCCAACAGGATGGAGGCAGCTGGAGTCCCTGGGTGAGGCGTGGTGGGGCTGGCTCTGGGTGGGGGGGCGGTGAGGGCTGGTCAGCTGTGGTGGTAGGGGACAGTAGGGGGCCAGCCCGGAGTTTGCCCCTGCTTGGCCCTGTCTTCTGTACGTCCCAGCTGGGTGTCAGCCTTCTCGGGGCCCTGCTGCTATGTGTGACCAGTGTCTCTCCCAGCCGGGTACACATCACAGAGGCGACACTGAACCACCTGGACAAGGCCTACGAGGTAGAGGATGGGCAGGGCCAGCAGCGGGACCCCTACCTGAAAGAAATGAACATCCGCACCTACTTGGTCATCGACCCCCGGGTAAGAGACTCAGAGACAGCAGGGAGGGTCTAGGCGGGACTGGACAGTCCAGGGAGCGGGGTCAGTAAGGGCGGGGTCACCGCCAGAGAGAGAGTACGAACCCAGGTGCAGCCCCACCGTGGCAGCAGGTACGTCTCAGGCCCTCTGTCAGTAGCAGTCACTGCCTTATTTTCCTGGGTGCGCCAGATTCCCTGATTTTCTAAACACACTTTGAACAAAACTCATGAAGCCAGGGAGTGGCTGGAGGTGGGTCCTGGACAGGAAGGTCTGGGGTTCCTGGCTGTGACCTGGGTCTCTGCCTGGCTCAGAGGTCTCAGGCTGCTCGCTCCCCATGACTCCGGGTGGGTCGGGTCCATCTGCTGCCCACTGAGCCCGAGCAGGCCGAGGTTTCTGCTCAAGGGGGCCTGGCTGGTCCTGCAGCTGCCGTGCTGAATCATCCCCGGGGCTTGCTCAGGCACGTTGCACCCCCCACTTCAGCTCCCTCTCTCTCCTTCCCTGTTTGGAGGGGCAGCTTGTGAGTCTCCTCAGCATCCACTCTCTGACTCCACCACAGCCGTGGCCTTACAACCTTCCTCTATTCATTCACATAGGTGCAAACTGAATAGGAGGGAAGGGCCTGTTGAGGTCTCCCTCATCCCTCAGCACATCCCTCTGGAGGAGACTGGGTAGGGAGCGTCTTGTCTCCCATTTACAGAGAGTTTTAAGGAAGTAGAAGTGGCAGCAGGGCCCCTAACGTGCAGTCCAGATGCAGTGCCTGGTGGACACAGAGGTTGTCCCCAGCGCCACATCTGCAGGCCCTGACGTGGTCATCCTGTGGGCCTGGCTGCAGAGCCTGCCCTCTGTGAGCCCCTGCCATTGACACGCCTGTTCTAAACAGGTGAGTTTGATTCAGAGTCCCTGGTCTTTGTACTGCAGGGTTATTTCTCTGGGGCTTGGAGACTGGCTTCACTGCTCAAGCAGGGGTGTCGGTGACCCACTGTGTCTGTGTAGGCAGCAGAGACGAGGGTGGCAGAGAAACATACCCACCCCAGACCCAACACCTTCTTCCTCTGACCCTGGGACCCTCACCATGGCTGAGTTCCACATTGTTCCCCGGGGCTGAGGGTTTAAGTGTTTCTATCCCAAAAGGAGTCTAGAAGTTTCTGGGAAAGTTGTTATTTTTGCTTGGCTAGTGCTTGTGGCTTAGGTGATTTTCCTGTGGGTGCTGGCAGGGACCAGGGCCCAGGACTCCTGGAGGGCAGAATGTTTGGAATATGGGTGGGGAGCTCAGGTGGCCCAGGCTCATCTCTGTTGGCCTGGGGTCTTTCTCTCCCTCTCCCTTTCCCAGCTTTGCCTGGGGAAGCCCCCCAGGTGCTGTTGCAGTGGAGAGTTTGGGCTCAGGGTCACTAGAGAAGGCAGGGTGGCCCCTCACTCATGACGTCCATGGCGTAGTGCTTCACCTGGCTGGCGCACGGCTTGGAGGCCATTCAAGGAGGACTCTGGGAAGCTCCTTTGCTGGGTGGGCCGGCGCTGCCCCCATAGGAAGGAGGGAGCATGTGGGGCCGCATGTGGGTGTGTGGCAGGACGCTTCCCTGGGAGGTGCCTCGGGGGAGGGGCTGTGGGCGCTCAGCCCCCAGGGCCACTGCTCCCCGTGCCTCGGGGCAAGTGGGCCTTAGAGTAGGGACTTGAGCTCATCCCTTCCCCTGGCAGGCAGAGCGGGCTCTGGGGCTGGGCACCAGAATGTGTGACCACCAGCCTCTTCCCAACTTGGGCAGGGACAGGAAATAAGCTGGGGCTCCCCTCGGCCTGGCCCTGGCCCTGCTTTAGCAGGGTTAGATTTTGTGGAGAGCCAGGGGGTGGGCAGAGCGGGAAGGTGGCACAGACTGGCATCTCTGTCTGCCTGTAGAGCCAGCAGCGGCCACCACCCAGCCAGCACCTCCCCAAGCCCAAAGGGGATGCGACCCTGAAAATGAGGGCTTCAGTGCGCATGACCCGCTACCTCGAGTCCTGGGGCGCTGCACGGCCCTTTGCACACCTCAACCACAGAGAGAGTGTGAGCAGCAGTGAGACCCCTGTCCCTAATGGGCGGAGGCCCAAGGTAGGTGACCCAGAGGCCTAGGTGGGGGTCCTGAGAAGGGGCCACGAGGAGCCTTGATGTGCCTGTAAAGTGGGTGCACTCTGCCCCACCTCCCTCTGGGCTGTTGGGGAAGAGGAGACATTAGGAGATTCTCCAGGGAGCTGGGAATGTCCCTGTCCTCAGTCCCCCGCCCAGTTTAGCTTTAGGCGACAAATCCAGGCTGTGAGGGACCACAGGGCCAGCATTTCCTCTCCTGTCTTTCCTTCCAGGCCATTCCCCTGCGGCGCCACAGGACCCTTGACAGGTGTGTGTGTCACCCCTCCCCTGTCCAGCTGTGCCCTGCCTACCTGGCTAAGTTCTGCTGTGGTCGCCTCCTTCAAGCAGGTGGCCCGGACCACCTGGGACCAGACCATGTCTCGGGGCAGTGCATTTCTGGGGGCCAGCACTTCTAGGGCCTCTCTTCTACTGGTGGGCGAGACTGAGCACCCTGGGGCAAGGCCAGCGGGGCCAGTGTGGGGTGCTCTGGGGCGTGTGCCAACCCTGGGAGAAGCAGAGGAGCCCTGGGACTGGGGTTGGGAGTCTGTCCTCTGGATGACGATGAGACACCCAGTCACATCCCTACATCCCGGTCAGCCCATCCTGAGTCACCTCATCTGTCTCCTCTGACCAGATGGGGGTGTCTAGCCTAGGGTGATGCAGTCGGGGTGTCTTTCCAGGAGCTCCTCCCCCAAGAGGCGGTCAGAGGATGACTCCTACGATGACGAGATGCTGTCAGCCATCGAGGGGCTCAGCTCCACACGGTGAGGCCCCAGACCACTGCCCTACAAGAGCAGGCCCACCTTGTGTCCTCAGCCTGGTGGCCCACGCGGCTCCTCCCCTTCTCTGGCAGCCTCTTGAGGGGGTGGCCGCTGCCCTGGTCCCGCCTCACACTGCTGCCCTCCAGGCCCTGCTGCTCCAAGTCCGACGACTTCTACACCTTTGGGCCCATCTTCCTGGAGAAGGGCTTTGAGCGTGAGGTGAGGCCTGGGCGGGGTGTGAGTCCCAGCGCGTCCAGGGGAGGGGAGGGGAGGGGAGGGGACTTTCTGCAGCTGGCTCTGGGGGTGGACAGGCACAGCACAGCCCTGGCTTGGGTGTCAGTCCTGTTGTCCTCACTCCCTGACTGGGAACCCTCATCAGGATTGCCCCGTGGTTTGGAAGACTTTTGCTTCGTCAGACATTGGAGTCTCCGTGGATGAGACCCCTGAGCACCCCAGGCTGCCAGCATGGGCCTCCCATTGAGGAAAACCCCAAATCTGGCCTCAGCCTTGGCAGGGCCTTCCGACTGTCCTGTCTGGCTGCTGCAGCAGCGGTGTGCTCTCTATCCCAGGTGACTGTGGCACACATGTCCTTATATAATTCTCCTCTCACCTGACAGGGGCCTGCACTATCAGCCTCAGGAATGGCCTGAAGGTGGCCAGGATTGGAGGGAAGGGTCCTTCTCCACAGGGCCCTCCTTGGGGAGGTCACCAGCAAATGTGTGCAGTGGTCCTGCTAGCCTCAGACACCCGACCTGTGGTCGGGGCCCTCATAGGGCTGGGGCTCTAGTTAGGGATGCAGGCCCAGCCTTACCACTTGGTTTAGGGTGAGGTCAGACTCACTGGCAGCCCTGGGAGCTCAGATCTGGTTCCTGTCCGTGGGGCCAAGAGCTCTTCAGGGACCTTAGCAATAAAGTTCCTGAATGCGGAACTGAAAAAGCAAGTGTATGGAAGTTACTAACTGTGACATCACTTGGGGCTCGAAGAGGGCTGTGAAGCATTTTTTCAAGGTGATGAACTTGAGTCTAGAGTCTGAAAAGGGCTCAGCAAGGGGCCCTCACAGTCTTCTTGTCCCCAGTACCGCCTGGCACCTGTCCCCCGGACACGCTATGACTTTGCCTGTGCCGGCCTTGTCTTCCTCTGCATCCTGCTTGTCCACATCCTAGTGATGCCTAGGTGAGTGGATGGGGAAGGATGGTGGCCCACTGGGTTCAGAAACTTTAGATCCTGGCATCCCTGCAGCTGGAGCAGCAGCTGTGACCCCACATCTAGAGCTGCCAACCCTTACCTGTAATGTAGTGTGCTTCCCCAGTCACCACCCTCGCTGTGCCTCTCCCTTCTAAGTCACTTGCTACCACTGCTTCCTGCAGGTATTGTAGTTTGCAACTCTGGCCTTGGCCGTTTGAAGTCCTTTCAGGGTAGACTTTGGCTGGGAAAATGAGGCTTCCTGTCAAGGACAACCATCCTAGGTTGGGAGCCTCTGAGATTTGTGCTTTTGGCTCTGGGGCCCTGCTGTTTGGAGTCAGGGATAATGGGGGTGAGGTTAGAGGGAGGGAAGTGAAGGTTGGCCACTGGTGGTTGCTAGAGGGGCCATTAGACCAAAGGACAGACTAATATTGAGGGTTAGAATGACTTAATAAAGACAAAATAGGAGACGCTCTTGTATCATTTTAATGTTCCAGACCCAGGTCCAAAGGCTTGTGATAATGCTCAATTCTTGTAGAGTTGGCCCAAGGGGGCATAATTTAACCTTGACCTTTATGTTGTGGGCAGGCCTTGTGTATTATTAGTGGGGCATTTGGACCACAGTTCTCAAAGATCCCCCTGGCTGTGCACAATAGCAATTGGGGAGGGAGCAGGTGATGGTACAGTGGAGGACTAGGGCTGAGGGAGGGGTCCTGGGAACTTAGTTTTTTTTCTTTCCCTCCAGGGTGGCACCGCTGGGTGTGTCCTTTGGGCTGGTGGCCAGCCTGCTGGGGCTGGTGCTGGGCCTGTGCTTTGCTGTGGAGTTCACGGTGAGTAGAGACCCCTGAGTAACAGGGTGGTGCGTCCTTGGCCCTACAGCCACTCCCTTTTCACTTTGGGGCTGACTGGGCCCTCTCCATGGTGAGCGGCAGGGGTCCGGGCCCTGCTCTTAGCAAGCATTGGGTGCCTGCCTCTCCTGAATGGTTCAGTTTGCTTCTCCCGAGGGTCCTCCCTTCCCAGGCACCCCCGCAGGCTCTGCGCTCCTTCCGGTGCCCACTCTGGGTAACCTGACCTCTGCCTCACAGCGGTGCTGCCCGACCCGGGGGACGCTGAGGGCCATCTCTGAGAGGGTGGAGACAAGGCCCCTGCTGAGGCTGTCCCTGGCCGTGCTGACCATCGGCAGCCTGCTCACTGTCGCCATCATCAACCTGGTCAGTTCTGGAGTGGGACCCAGTGCCCTGGCACATTTTCTGGGTGGAGGAGCCTGCCTTGGACCCTGGGAATCTTATCTCATTGCCTTAGGCTTGCATTTGGTTTAACCTCTGTAGGGCTCTGGTGTGTGTGTGCGGGGGGCGCTGTGAGGTCCCAGGGTAGACCCAGAGCTCCTCACCCTTTTCAAGTAAGGACTTGGGGCACCCACGGTGCTTACCTGGCCAACCCCGCAAGGACAGGATGTTTGAGCTACCTGTGCCCTGATACCACATTCCTCTTCTTGGCTCTGAGGAGGTCCTGTCTCGCCGTCTCACTATGGGTTATGCCCCATGCCAGCTCCTTCCTGTAGTCATACATGCCCCTTAGGGCTGCAGGGGAGAAGGGGCTTCTGGGTGTGCGGGTCTCTCCCACCCTGCCTGAGCCACAGGGATGAGCCTGGTACAGCTTCAGGCTGTCATGGCGCCTGTGCTTATCTTGGGCTCATCTCTCTGGCCCTGGCAAGTAATAGGCTTCCCACCCCTGGCACCAACCCTAATGGGGATTTGTCTCCTCCATAGCCCCTGATGCCTGACCAAGCCCTGGGGCTGCCTGGGAGCAATGAGACTGCAAGGAGCGGTGAGCTCCTCCCGGTGAGTGCCTCCAACCTGGCCCCAGCAGAGCTCAGCCCCAGCCTGGCCCCCTGGGCATCAGGTGTCCTCACTGGGATGCTCCGGCCAGTGGGCACAGCTCTGGCACAACGGTGGTTCTAGGCCCTGAGACTGCTGTTGTTGCGGAGTGAGTCCAGGAAGGATGGAAGGCAGGGCCTTGGCTGGCTGAGATGGGGAGAAGCCTGGGCTGGGCCAAGTCTGGGTGCCTCAGTAGGACTTCCAGAGTCCATAGTATGGCAGGGGAGCTGGGAGATGAAGGTAGAGAGGTAGGGTTTGTCCAGGGTCTGCCAGGGTGAGGAGTGCAGTCTTTATCTTGGGGGTGGCATGGAGCACAGCATGATGCTGAGCAAGAGCGTAGTGGAGGCAGAGATCTGCTTTAAGAAGCTCTCAGGAGACAGAGGACTGCTCTGAGAGCCCCACTGCCTGGACCTTGGTCTGTGAGACCCACCCAGCACCTTTGGTCTTACTAGCATTTTTCCCTAAAGGAGCCCACTCTTCTAAGTAAAACTGCAGAAGAAAAGTATAAAACCCAGACCCTGGCTTCCCTTGCCCGCTGTGCTGTGTCATGGTCAGTTGTCTCCCTGTGGTAACTGTGCTCTGCTCTGGTCCTGAGGCTCCTGGTGAAGGATGTGGCGGGGTGACCTTTGCCTCCTGAGGAACACCCCGTCTCCCCAGTTTTATAGCTGCACTTGCATCCTGGGCTTCATCGCCTGCTCTGTCTTTCTGCGGATGAGCCTGGAGCTGAAGGTCCTGCTGCTGACAGTGGCCTTGGTGGCCTACCTGTTGCTCTTCAATCTCTCTGCATGCTGCAGCCAGAGCCTGGGCAACCTCACTGACACCAACTGCCCGGGCAACCTCACCAAGACCAACAGAACCCCCAGGTAGAGCCCCACACTGCTGCGCGTCTCCTCTGTGGCTGGCTGTGGCAAAAGTCTGTTCACTTCTGACCCTTATGCCAAGTCCTTATGCTACCATCTAAGTCCTGGTCTCATCCTCATGAGGCCTCCTCGCTGCCTTCAGAGCCTGCCATAGTCAATTCTGGTTCCTTGGGGTGAGCTCAGATGCCCCTCAGTGAGGTTTGCCCACCTTCTGCCCCTGCGCTGGCCCTGTGCCCCTGTCGTCGGTGGGGGCTGATTGTCACCCCTGGGCCCACAGCAGCTCCTGCTGTTTGACGAGGGATCTGAGGACCATGATCAACTTCTACCTGTTTCTGTTCTACCTCACCCTCGTCATGCTGTCCAGGCAGGTGGGTTTGGCTCCCAACCCAGCCTCAGGGCCTCTTCTCCCTGATAGAGGGAAGCTGGGGTGCAGAGTGGGGAGTGGGCAGCAGAGTCCTTTCACGAAAGCTCCAATCCCTGGGCCGGGAGGTGCATGGCAGTCACAGCTCAGGGTGGGCACCCAGCATTGCAACTGTGGCTACCAGTCCTTTGGGTGGGTGTCACCCCCCAGACAGGCTCTGACCGATCTTAGTTTGCAGATTGACTATTACTGCCGCTTGGACTGTTTGTGGAAGAAGAAGTTCAAGAAGGAACATGAGGAGTTTGAGACCATGGAGAACGTGAACCGCCTTCTCCTGGAGAATGTGCTGCCGGCCCATGTGGCTGCGCACTTCATCGGTGACAAGCTGAATGAGGTGCAGCCCAGCACTCGGGTGGGAGAGCCAGGGACAGGTGCAGTGCAGAGCTGCAGAGCTGCAGAGCTGCAGAGCTGCCAGAGCTGTGTGCCATGGGCTTGCCTGGCTTGCTCGCCCTGCTCCAGTAGGCAGCATGCAGTTAGTAGTAGAAACCTGGGCTCTGCATCACAGCTGGGGTTTCCAGATACGGAAACTGACAAGTGACTTGCCCAGTATAGGGCCCGTCTTTTACAGGGTGTGTGTACTGAGGGTGCCACCAGCTTGAGCCTGACCTCCCGACCCTCGGATTCAGAGCCACCACCCATGTCCTCACTGCCCCAGACTGGGTGGGGAACCACTGCTCAGTCCTCTGCTCCCTTGAAAGTTCACTGGGCGGGTTGCTACCGTGCACGTCCCCAACCCCTCCAGTGGCCATAAGTTCCTGTTTCGCCCTTACCCTGCCCCAGGACTGGTACCATCAGTCCTACGACTGTGTCTGTGTCATGTTTGCGTCTGTGCCGGATTTCAAAGTGTTCTACACGGAGTGCGATGTCAACAAAGAAGGGCTGGAGTGCCTGCGCCTACTCAATGAGATCATTGCTGACTTTGATGAGGTACCCCTCCGCTCAGCCCACTGAGGGGTGAGGGCTTTGGGCTTCCACCTTGCCAGGAAGTACAGGACAGAGGCTGGGACAGCCTGACTGTAGAGAAAGAGGTGAGGTCAGGGGCTGGGGATGTAGCTCAGTGATAGCCAGAGAGTGTGCATAGCATGCATGAGGTCCCATGTTCAGACCAAAAACAAGGCAGCTTAGGGGGACACGTTACAAAATGTACAAGGAACAAATTTGTGTTTATTATTTACCCAGCTAATACTTTGTTAACATCTCTGGGGCGCGTAGTTCGCTAAGATTAGATTCAGGTCCTCATCGAATGGGTAGATTTCCAGCTACGCTGCAGCTGTTAACCATGTCAGAGCACATTAGTTTGAGCTGAAGTCTGCTGCAGATGATGAATCTGGAATCTGAGCTGAGTATTTGCTCCTTTAAAGGGATGGGAGGGATGAGGGAGAGTGTCCGCCCCTGCACTTGGCCGCGAGCTCCGACTGGAAGGGCCCCCAGGAGACACATCTGCACGGGGAGCCCCGCGTCCTTTCTTAGCACCTGTGTGCCTCTAACTGCGGCGTTTTCCTGTCATCCTGCAGTTGTTGCTGAAGCCCAAGTTCAGCGGTGTCGAGAAGATCAAGACCATCGGTAGCACCTACATGGCAGCTGCAGGACTCAGTGTCCCCTCAGGGCATGAGAACCAGGTATTGAAGCACCTGGGAGGGAAATGCAACAGGCAGCCTCCAGACCTGTCACCCTCCATTTGACGGGGCCCTCCTGTCTCCCATCCTGTGAAGGAGGGCAGAGGTGCCTGTGTGGCTCAGCCTGGAGAAGTTGGAGGTGGGGAGTGGGTGCCTTTGTAGAGAAGGGTGACTGCCCACCGACGGCCCACCCCCGGGTCCCACCAGGTCAGGTGCTCTGGTGGCCTGAGTCGGTGGGGTAGGACCTTGCGTGCCCTGTGTCCTGCAGGACCTGGAGCGGCAGCACGCGCACATTGGCGTCCTGGTGGAGTTCAGCATCGCCCTGATGAGCAAGCTGGATGGCATCAATAGGCATTCCTTCAACTCCTTCCGCCTCCGAGTTGGTGAGGGCCGCCCAGCTGCTGGGAGCCCGGGATGGCTTCTCCCCGTCTCCCTGGCCACACTGTACTGGGTCACCTCCTACCAAGTTTCAGAGACCGCTCTGATCTGACAGGTGCCGAGGCTGGATCATTTTTCTGACCACCTCTGCATATTGCTCTTACAGTTACCTAAAACTTTAGAAAGAATGTCACTGTAGAAAACAGAGTAACAAAGTCACAAGTATCAGTAGGTGACCTTAAAATATCCTTGTGGCAAAGCAGAATTATTAACCCTAAGTAGTCATTGTGAGCTCAGGGGGTCAGTGGTTAAAGCCCTGTTACTTGTTGAACGGGAGACTGGCAGAGACTAACAAGCCCCAGCTTCCCGAGTGTTGGGGAGTCAGAATTGGCATGGCCAGGGCGTGCCTTTCTTGAGAGGACCATCTCCAGCTGCAGGCAGGGGACCCAGCCGCAACCCACCTTTATCTTAGTGCTGTTTTCTTACTTTGTGGTTGCGGGCTGGAGTCTGTGACCTGCGGCCTTGCCTCTGGGATGTGCCAACTGTAGACATTATCTTTAGGCATAAACCACGGGCCCGTGATTGCTGGAGTGATCGGGGCACGGAAGCCTCAGTATGACATCTGGGGGAACACAGTCAATGTTGCCAGCCGCATGGAGAGCACTGGAGAACTTGGGAAAATCCAGGTAACAGCCCACTGCAGAAGTGTGTGGTTGAGGGGAGGACCTCCCACTAGGTGAGGGGTCTTGGGCTTAAGAGCTGGCTTCACAAGCACTCAGCTGTGTCACTCTGGCCACCAGTTTTGAGACAAAGCAGACACGCATGCTGCTGGCTGGCCTCCTGCTACCCGTCTCCAGTACAGTGGTTTTCTTCCCGCTTTCTCCCCTGCTCAGGTCACTGAAGAGACGTGCACCATCCTCCAGGGCCTGGGTTACTCCTGTGAGTGCCGGGGGCTGATCAACGTCAAAGGCAAAGGCGAGCTGCGGACCTACTTTGTGTGCACGGACACTGCCAAGTTTCAGGGGCTGGGGCTGAACTGAAGGCTTCTGGTGGGATCAGAACATGGTGGGAAGCTGGTTTCTTCAGAACAGGTCAAGAAGCTGGGCCCATGCCAGTTGCAAAGGCAGTGGATGGTTCTGGCCATGGCCATCCCCTAGCAGATGGCTGTGCATGGCTGCTAGGGACTTGCACCAGAGGAGTCTGCACCAGATGCTGCTTGAAGCAACTGCTTAGCTATAGCACGGTGCAGCCAGAACCTCTGCACTGTTACTTTTAAGTTTCCAGATCAGCTGGAAGATGACCACTGGGATGCTGATGCCAACTGTGCTGGTGGCTGGAATTTTGTTCCCAGGTGCCGTGGAGGTGATGTTGACCGTGACTAAGGGAGACATCCACCTTGGCAGCCTGTGGGCACACATAAGGGAGACTCACCTTTTCCAGGTCAACGGAGGATTAAGCCAAGTTCTCTAGCATGGGTTGGAGCCTCCCTTCTCCCTAGCAGGAAAAGCCCTGGGGAGTCTATTTCTCACATAGGCGTGGAGCTGGAAAGGGTGTTTTGCAAACGGTTTCAACCAGTAGAGACAAAAATTCAGTGGGCACTTGTTACTTCTTGCCATTTCTGGCATGTTTTAGATACACTCTTAATGGGGATTTTAACCTTATTGACTTCTTAGATGCTGGACAAAAGTCTCCAGGGTACATGTAAATAGGACTACTGTCCAGTGTCAGTCAATGGGATTAGCTGGCTGGGGGGCAACAGGGCTCACAGCAAGAAGGCAAGGAGCAGGGATCCTTGGGTCTGAGTCGGGCAGCTCTGATGGAAGCCTCCTGGGACCATGCTCAGTAAGCTGAAACTTAGGAGCAAGGAAGCACTTTTAGTTCCGCCCTGACTACTTCTGTACTTTTGGGCTTCCCCTGCAATCTTAACTGTCTCATGTTATTTCAGTGGGAAGGAATGGAGGCCTTGTGGAGAGACCTTGGACAAGCTGCACTACATCTTTCCTTTAGTCTTCATATAGCTGGCTCTGGAGAGCTTCAAAACTAGAGGGATCTACTCAGCATGAGATGTATCAAGGTTCCCCTACCCGGGAAGCTAGCTCCCAGCAGATGTTGAGACATTCTTGCTCTGAACCTGAATGAGTCCAGGTAAAAAGCCGACTTTGAGATGGTGTGTTACTGTGCTTCGGCTGCATAGGGAGCTGGAACTGCCTGTTCCTTTTCTGAACTGACTCCACTGCTGCCAGTACCACCACTGAACGTCACTACATCACAGGGATTCCTAGATAGTAGCCAGCCTCCAGCCCCCTGAAGTTACACAGGCAATCTTGCAGGAGCCTTCAAAACATGGCTGTGCAGGGCTGCGGTGGCCACCCTTGCTGCAGAGTAGTGTGCAGGCAGGGGTGGAGGTGGTGGAAAGGGGCCTGTGTGGTTGTCTTACCAGCCTGAGACAGGGGGCCGATTCCAATTTGCAAGAAGGTGCTGCAGCCCTGCTGTCATATGAGGCTTTTTTTTTTTTTTCCTTTTTCTGGTACTGGGATCAAATTTGGGACCTTATGCTTATGAGGTAGGCAGCAGAACCACTGAGCTAAATCCCTAGTCCTAAACATTACCATTTAAATTGCAACAACTTTTGTCTTTTTGGGGGTTATGGGGATTGAACTCAGGACCTTGCACTTGCCAAGCAGGTGTGGTGCCACTGAGCGTAACCCCTGGCTACTTGTCTTTTTTTTCCTGCTGTGTCATATGTAACTGGAACCAGCATGCATTCAAAAAACTTGCTCTGAAAAGGAATTCTATGGCAAAAATGCCAGCAAGGCAAGAAGCCTTGCCTAAATTGCTTTTTCTGTATCCCTTGCTCACATGACAGGCTGACTTCAGGGGAGTGCTGTACTACAACCTGTGCTCTCCAAATGGGTCAGGGCTGACCAGATGAGCACTTGTAGGGTAGGAGCGCTCCTGTTGCTGACATAAGGTAGACATTGATCAGTGCGTGGGCTTCTCAAGCTGTTTCTACTCTTGCAGCATTCAAGGTACTTCCTTCAGTAGGAAGTCCCAGGAAATAGTTTTAAAGTAATTGGTCACCACTCATGCATTGTATTTTCAATTAAAGCACTGTGCTCAGTTAAGAATGTTTTCTAAGTTTTTAGTTTTCAATCTTCACATTAGAGTATAACTGACCGTAAGAACCACTTGCAGTCTACATGTATCTCCCTCAGTCCTGGAGATCAAACTCAGGACCTTGCGCTTGCAAAAGCAGGCACAGCGCCACTGAGCTAAAGCCCTGGCCCCACTTGCAGTTTCTTTTAATGACTCTATTTCCAATTACCACGTGACTTCTTTGCAAGTGTCATTTTGTTTTGGGAGGAACAGGTATTTTCTAACAATTACGCTCTCTATTGGGTTAAAGACTGGCTTAAATCTCTCTCTAAAGTGGCCTCACTGACTACGCAATAACACCTAAAGTTTTTCTGGTTACTTATTAAGGAGATTTCCTAGAGGCAAACATGATCCTTACCTACTGTATATTGTGTCTATAACACATCAATGTACAGAAATATGCTTTGAGGTCAGGTATACAAGTGACTACGTTTGTTCCCTGTAAGATTATTTATTTGTCAAGTTTTGTTTCATTTTTATAAACTATTAGTGTTGGGCCGTTTCTGATACATTAAATTAGCAACGTGGAAAGCATGTATGTCCTAAGTTCCAAATTTATTTTATTAATCTTCAGTTTACCTGAGTCCAGTATTGCCTAAATTGTATTTCAGAGATTAGACTCTAAAGACTTGATAAACACATACTGAATTGACTGTTAGTGTAATATTCTAAGTAGTTTTTAAAATTAGTTCATGCTTTAAGTTTAAGAGAATGTTTTCCTTTCCTTATTCTAGTTCCATGTTAATTTTCAAATCAAGAAAATATAAAATGGGCTGGGCATGGTGGTATATGCCTGTAATTCCAGTACTCAGGAGGCTGAGGCAGAAGGATCGCTGAGTTCAAGGTCAGCCTGAAGTATACAGTGAGACCCTATCTCCAAGGAAAAAAAAAAAGGAAAATATAAAATGACTTCCTCTCTGGGTGTTTTACAGAAGGCACTGTATTAGGGCATTAATCTGTTTGCAGAGTTAGGTTATATACATCTTGGATTTTTTTCTTTGATTTACTTATTTTATGGTACTGGGGGATTGAATCCAGGGCCTCACACATATTAGGCAAGCAGTCTACCACTGAACTACGGCCCCAGTCCAATATTTGCTTTTTATTAAACAGATTATGTCCTGAACTAGATTCAGAAGAATCACCATTCATCTGAGCTTAGTGACTGGGCATGGTGAGGGACCTAATCACTATGCACAAGGACATCATTCCCATCAATTAGCGAGTGCAATTACACTGATAAATCCCAAAAGTATTTCAGGTTTGTTTCCACGGTATTAGTACAAAATCTTCCTGGATGGGGCTGTCTCTAAAGAGCTGCTTAGTTATGCTGCTGCTGGGGAAACACAAGTGCTACCACACTGTTCTGAAGAAGGCCACCCAGCTCCAGCAGCAGCTCCAGCACCATTTCCTCCTCATAAGGAACACTCCGGATAAATGACCGAGATGGTGTCTGCTAAGTTAAGAATTACTTGGTCTTAATTTCTTTAATGGGGAATGTGTCCAATGAGGAATTTCAATAATTTTGAGGATTTCTTCTTTTAGGGGCTGATATGATCTGAGGTCTCCTCTTGGTCACATCATCCTCAGAAAGGCCAAGGGGTAAGTCAGGTGATAGCACGATATTCTTCGCCAGAGTCCCAGGTTCAACTTTATTACCTAATAGAAGCCCAATCTCTGGAACATTAAAGTTGATTGTTCCAAAGTTTAATTAAAAACACAATTTACAAATAGTTAATATCTTCTGAAAAGCATTTCCAAGTTCAGAATGAAAAAAATATGTACATAATATATAATGAAATAACAGCCTCAGCTCCCATCAGGTCCACACTCAGCAACATCAGTCTTCTTAAGTTCTTCCAAGTCTGAAAGAGAGGACCCTTCTCAGAAATGGGAAGTGCAGACGAAGCTAGCTTTCAGAAATGGTAGTCCTTCTGAATCACATTTGAGGAGCTTTTCTGGCAAATGTGTGAAATTTTTATTGATTCTTTACACCAGATAGAAAAGGAAAAGTAGTTTTATACCTTAAAAACTCAGAGACAAAAGCTCTCAAATATTATCTGAAGGGAAAGGACTGATGCTCCTCTTACAACAGCCCCTTAACTCTCCCAGGAAAGCAGGGATGGACGTACCTCCTGTTAGATCTACGACGTTGTTCTCCACCATGGGGGAAGGAATGGAAATCCCCATTGCTTTCCGAATTCCATACATGCTCACGATATCACCTGGAGTGACTTGCTGGGCAAGTTCTTTAAGATTATTGGTCACTTGTTCAGCTAGGGGAAAAAAAGAAATTCCAGGTACTGAAAAGTGGTTCCTTATTTTTAAAAAATTCCAAAACAACAATGTATAAATGCAGAAAGTACACCGTCATGGTACTCATTTGAGCATTACTGCATGGTGGTCACTACTCAGAGGTTTTTCCTTTAAGTATCCCCAACTCTTCTCTTACTGGAGACGAAACCTACCCAGGTGCATTTCTCGGTATGATGGACCCAGGAGACAGATCATATTGGGAGGGGGCCTGGTGCTCAGCCGCTCATTCTGTGCGTCCTGGAGCTCCCTGAGCAATCTTGTGGTCTCATCAAGTTTCCTCTGGAACACTTCAGCCTCTGCAGGGTAAGAACACACTGATAAAAACCCAGGCACACTTGCATATGACCTTGTGTGGTAAATCCTGTGCTCTTAGGGCTTGGCCATTTGTAGGTTAGACTCACCCCTCAGTAAAGCCCCTCCAACAAAACCAGCACCACAGCCAAGCTCTACCATTCCTTTTTTTTTTTGGTGACACAGTTTTGCTCTATAGTTAAGGCTGGCCTTAAACTCTCAGCAATCCTCCTGCCTCAGCCTCCTGAGTGCTGGGATTACAGGTGTGCACCACCATGCCCGGCTTTCTACCATTCATTTAACTCAGTTGGCTAAAATGTTTCTGTGGTACACAGCTAGGTTAATCTGTGGCAGTGTCTCGACTGCCTGTGTTGTGCAATGTTTCCAGCACTCACCTTCAGAGTCAAAAACTTCAACTGGAACACCAAAGTTTATTACTGCTTTCAGTGCTGTGAGCCTGTCCTGAGTGCCGGAGTCCAAATGCCCTGCTGGCTCTACTTCTGTAACCTGAGTCAAACGAAAAACAGCAATTACCTGAGCTTGGTAATCCATGATAGTGCTAAGTAAGATGACTTCTGTTTAGAGGCAAAGCCATTCCACCTATTTACTTTGGAGGCACGATTTTGATGACTACCAAAAATGTCTTCCCAGCATACCCATTATAATGCCGTTCCCAAACCATGACAAAGTAAGTGTCAAATTCATGCTGCTCAGTAGTGTTTAAGGATGTCTTACAAATTTGCATTACTTGTTTCATATGTCAACCATTCTAAAGACAAAGAACCTCATCACTGCCTCTGCTTCAAAGTGCTCATGGGAGTTACAATGCCTTATCTCTCTTTTGCTTTTTGTGGGCTATGTAGTTGAGATTGACCTGGAACTTGCTATATAGCCCAGGCTGGTCTCAAACTCTCAGCGATCCTCTTGCCTCAGCCTCCTGAGTGCTGGGATTACAGGCGTGCGCCACCACGCCCGGCTAATGCCTTGTATTTCTGAGGCTTGAAGATCTCAGCGATTCTTGCCTCAGCCTCCTGAGTGCTGGGATTACAGGCGTGCGCCACCACGCCCGGCTAATGCCTTGTATTTCTGAGGCTTGAAGGTAAACGTTTCATGCACGCAGTCCATGCACTTGCATTTCTATAGCAGATCTTTATTACAGTCTATGATGCTTCCTGGGTCTCCTTGAGACCCTGAAGTTAGGCTGTCAGTGTTGCGTGGGAGAAACAAGATCTTAAGAAAAGCAGTTTTATTTTTGGAATCCGAAGACTCAAAGTTTCTATAATCTCAATGTTGTTTGTGGGGGGTACATCACCACAGATAATAACCAAAAATTAGTGGCTCCATTTATATTTGATGTTGCAGTCCAAACAGTCTGAATAGCTGACTCTTCTGCCTATATATGGGCTCAAAGTGCAATGTAGGAAAAGTAACTTGGCACTAATATATATTTATGGTTCGCCTTTTCAGCTGCATCCTCACAACTCCACTCAATACTCTTCATTTCCCATTCTTCCCTGTTGCATCCTCATTAAGCCCACGGCTTTCCTTGGCTCCCCTTTTCCTGCAAACAGCTATTTTCACATCATCTACATCTTTATCTGTTTTTACTTGATCGCACATCTTGAGTCTTCCTTCCTTGCAGCTAAAGGGCTGTTTGGTTTTTCTCCTGTCACTTAACTCAGATCTCCTGATCAATGTTACAAATGACACTTGTAGCTTCCTCTCACTGGGCTTCTGCACCATCTGACACGGCACTCTCCTCCTCGGTATTTTTTCATAGGTTTCCTACCTCACCCAACTGTTGGTCTTCTCCAAGGTTCCTCCCTTACTCTAATGACCGGAATAAAACTCTACTTCTGCACCAGTAACTTCCAGCTCCACACTGCCAGCAATGTCCCAAGTCACATTTGTCACATCTGTAGTGGCAGGTGGCTTCTCCCTCTCAAAGGTATACTCCTTTTCCTGCACTTCTTATTTGAGCTAATGCTATTAACTACCTCGCGCACCAGCTCACATCAGTTTTTGTTGTTCAGTATTTGCTAAATCTTTTCTTCCTTTGAATTGGTATGCAGGTCATATATTTGGTTTTTTCTTGGTTTTGACAAGTCCCACAGCTCTTCACTGGTCCTCTCCTTCCTTGTTTTATCAGAGGGTCCCCTCTTCTAGGTAAATTCTAAACTCTGCAGCACTGAACACTGTCTGGGCCTCACCTATACACACTCGCTGCCTGAACTCTACCCAGGAACCTTTAGGTCACTTGCTTGCTTTGTTGTTATACAGTAAGTCCCTGACTTATGAACATTCAAGTTTCACAGGTGTACTGTATAAGACTCACTTTGTCAACCTATGAATGAATCTGACTTAGGAATAATTCTTCCAGAATGGAACTTGTTCATAAGTAGGGGACTTAGGGCCTCACAAATGTTAGGCAAATGCCCTCGCACTGAGCACCCATCCTTGTTCATTGTGAGAGAGGCTCTCCGTCAGTTGCCTAGGCAGGCCTTTAACTTGGGATCCTCCTGCCTCAGCCACCCATGTAACTGGGAGTATGTGTACAGCACCATACCTGGCTTGGGCACTGCTTTCTAAGATGGTCTCATCTGTGTCCTGCTCTCGGATGGCTCTGTCATTAACCACTCAGGTGCAAAGCCCTGCTTGCTGCCTCTTCACCCTGCAACCGTATCCACACAGCTACCCAGGAAGTGAGGCTCTCCATCCCAAGCACTATGCCCAGTTGCTGACAGTGTACGGCAACTGGTTCTGGTCCTCATTAGCATACTTGCTACTGCGTGAGGTACTAAGCTACTACCAACAAAATAACTTTTTTGATGTATTGGGGATCAAACTCAGGTCCTTGTGCTTGTGAGGCAGGTGCCTGAACCACTGAGCTAAATCTCCAGCCCTTCAAAATAACTTCTTTTATCATAATGACACAGTGAATATTTTTAAAGTTTAGTTTTACAACTTAGCTCTTTAAAGTACATAATTACCTCCATTTCTTTTGCTGTGTCAAGTGTCCTGGTCTGGCCTTCATCTTCAGGTGATGACTATTAAGGATAAAGAAAAATAACTTTATGGAATCATTTATGACAAAGCAAATATTAAGGAAAATAGAGAAGTAGTAAGAACATGTATTACTAGAATATACCCATCTATCCACCCATCCATCTACTGGTTTTTTGAAACACAGTATCACTATGTAACTCAGGCTGGCCTCAAACTTACAGCAATCCTCCTGCTTTAGCCTGAGTGCTGGGATTACAGGTGTGTGCCACCATGCCTGGCAAGAATATAACTTTTTAATTATAAATATTAGCATTTTGAGAGTATTTTGTGAGGTGGGTACTTATTAGTGGTGATGCTGAGATCTGTACCTAATCAAAAGCTATCCGTGTTGAGCCCAGCTTTGCAGACAGGGAACCGCAGTCACAGCCACCATGAAGAGTGATGCCTTTGGGCTTTGGGATGTCACGGTGGCACAGACTTTCCCAGTGTGTGTGAGGGGCCTGGTTCAATTCCCAGCACCATGACAGCCGCCCCCCCCACCTCTGTATTGGTGGGAACATTTTCTGGCTTTAATCTTTGAGCCTCGACTTTGAATCACTCCAGATTATGAACTATTGACAGTTTACAAATGTTACTAACAGGTTGCAGTGAGGAAGCTTTTTAGTTTCTAACCTGAGGTTCCTACTACTGTTACTCCCACAGTTAAGAAAAATAGCCTCCTCCATCATTTTAGCCAACTTACTTTCAAGCTAGTGAGCAAGACCTTTTTTGTTTAGGAACATAGCATGCACTGACTTCAGAGTACAAACCCCATTTTTGAATCATACATTCCTCCCAGGATTAGCGATGATGGCAATGTTCTGGCCTTCAGAGATCCTGCAAGCTGAGTTACTCCTTTCCGTTCATTGTTCTCCACCCATAGCCCCCACCCAGGCTGGGCTGAGCTGTCTTTTCAGGGGAATGGAGTTCAGCTGTCATATTGGTTAATCCCTAGTTTCATAACATGGAATGAATAATGATTCACAGCCAATAACAAACTATCCTATTTCTTTAGCAGCATTCTTACCATCTCCAGTTCTTGTAGGGTCCTAGAATGCCCTCCTTTCGTTAAAACATCCAGTAAACTATCTGCCATAACATATGGATAATCTTGGCACGTTGCCAAAAACTCATGGACACTGAAAGAGAGTTGGGAAAGTTACTCTCATATAAATCATTCCCATTGGCCTAGTCCTTCTAATCACAGCCAATTGTTTCCATTAGATGCCTCCGGTTTATACACCAAGATGTAAAACACAGTCTAGAAGCAAAACTGTATTTACATATTTACTAGTGATAAATTTATCATCAGAGAATGAAACAATATCAAGAACATAGTGAAAATGAAATGTTCCTGAAGGAACTCCAAAGAAAAATAAGACCTCAGTGACGGGGCCGCCCAGGGCTCAGAACTTGGGCTTGCTCCTTTTAGTGATCTTGTTCCCCTGAGGATTTCCACAAACACACTAACCCTCAAAGTCACAACTCCACTTGGATGTCTAATAAGCACCATAGGCTTCAAATACTCAAAACTGAAATGCTGGATTGTCTCCCCACAAGGTATATTCTAGAATCGTCCCCTTTTACATTGTCTGAAAATCCTGCATCATCTCATTTCCCCTCTTCCTTCATCAGTAAAAAAGTCCTAATTAATGATCCCATCTCTCAGTACCTCGTGGCTACACTCCTGGTCCACTTCGTATCTGGACGGACAACAGACCCCCCAACTTCTGCCCTTGATCCCTGCTCTACACAACAGCCAGGGTCCCCTTTTGGAATTATAAGCCAGGACAGTTTACACTGCTCACATCAGTAGTCTTGTCACTCAATAAAACCCTACGTCCTTACAAAGATCTACTCCTACTCACTACCTCGCTGAACACTTTCCCCTTCATTCTCTCTGCTCCTTACTGCTCTGCTTGCTGTTCCTTCAGCAGGTCAGGCAGGCCCCCCGCCCTCAGGACCTTTGCACAGCTACTTCAGGGGCTGGTATGCTCTTCTTTCTTTTTGCAGTACTGCTGTTTCATTACCTTCCTCAGTTTTTACTTGACTTTATCTTTCAACAAAGAATTCTCTGACCCGGCCTATCTTCCTTTGCTGCTTTACCTTCCTCTAAAGCACTGTCACTATCTGACAGGAGGGGATGGGTCTTTGTCACTACTCTTTCCTGTGGAACCTCCATCATCTAGAAGAATACCTGCCACACAGTGGGCACACATGCCTATTTGTGGAATGCATAGGATACTCCAGAAAATCTGTTCAAGCTGGTGAGGTCTGAATATATAAATAGCTTGATCTGAAGCCACTGCCAATCTCTACCTTAGAAACCTTTGCCTATAATAGTAACAAAACCACACTTACTTGCAAGAGAATACCCTTTTGTCAGAAAAGCAGGGGACTGGCTACTTTACAGAGTTAAATTTTTTACACACATAATAAAAGTTAACAGTGTACCACTGTCAAGAAGGGAAACATCCAAGCTCACCCTGAGCCACAGCCCTGGTAAATAAGGATGGTACACCTCATCATCCTACATAGGAGCACAGAAGTTACTGACACAGAACCATGCAGCGAGGAACAACTGAGTGTAACTGAAATGGCCTGTCTGCCTCAGCATCTGTCACAAGGGTTACTACATGTGGGCTGTCTTGGGACTCAATCATCATGTCTATACCTCACAACTTGAGGAAAATGCACCGATCAAGCTTAGAACATAATACACAAAAATGTTAAATGTAGAAGGCTGGAGGTGTCACTCAGTGTTAGAGAACTTGCCTGGTGTTTGGTCCCTAGCAATACAAAAGAAAAAAATGTGTTATAGTAGAGCAGATGGCACATAACCCTTTGAGGTAACAAGATCCTGCACGCCAGCATCAGTTGAGGTACACTGCACATTGAAAACATATTTCTGTAAGACAATACTGCAGATGCCAATACCGGGGAGCTACATTCTCTCTTTAGAATATTTTGTTTCCATTAAAGGATGATAACTATGGGTCTACTACTGTCAATTAAGAAAATTACTGGGGCCGGGGATTTAGCTCAGTGGTTCTGCTGCCTGCCTTGCAAGTACAAGGGTGCAAATTCGATCCTTGGTACCAAAAAACAAAAATTACTGAACACATTTCCTACCATTTGGGTAATTTTGGAAGTCTTCTCACAAGTCACTATTGTACATTAGTATTAGAAATTATTATGCCCAGAATAACTGGTGACTCACCTGAAATCACTTGGAAGGTCAGAGTCTTCCCCATATGTTGAATAGATTAAATCAGAATCATCTTTGCTGATATTTGCAAAAGTGGAGTCATAATGGGGGGCATATGAACTGTAAGGCCCATAATTCAAGTATAATACTGTTGAAAAAATTAAATATGGTAATACTAATCTTTAGTTTTTATGTGAATTTATTTTCTGGCTTTATTAAAAGATCATTCCCTTCTGACTTTACTGCTTCACAGACTGGTATGCAAATCTAAGACAGATTATTTTCTCCCAAACAGATACAATCATCCCTTAGCATTGTGAGGGGATTAATTCCAGGACCCCACCCACTTAGATATAGAAATCTAAAGATGCTCAAGTCACATAAATGGAATCATATTTGCACCGAACCTACACATATCCTCCCACACTCTTCAGTGTAAATCATCCCTAGATTACTTATAATGCCTGATATAAATGTTAAGGGAATAATGTAATATTTAGAAGTAATGATAAGGACAGTAATCTGTATGTGTTCAGTACAGACGCAATTTTTTTCCTATTTCCAATCTGTGTTGGTTGAATTCATGATGCTGAATCCATAGATATATGCAAAGTTACAACTTAAAATGAATTATTTCCCACAAAAGGGAAGAAAAGAACAAAAAACTCATTTTGAATACTAGTATCTGATTTCTTTTGACGTTAATAAAATAGCTAATAGATACTGCAAAAATATCACCAAGAAAGCCAGTGAATAAAGCAATGAATGGTAATTATGATTCTTTTCCTTAAATGCCTGAACCAGAAAGAGCAAAAAATACTGTAACTATGCAGGAGACTCACCTGGGGTTACTTTGTTCCTTTTATCTTCTTTGAACCCCTGCAAGGTATTCACTCCAGACTGAAGTCTTCCAGTTGTCATTCCTAGTCTCACAGGGCAGTAGCCTGGTTCTAAGACATAAAACTGAGCACAGTGAGAAGCATGTGTGGGAATGATCCATAGGGGCCTCTGCTGAGTGCTTTCATGTGTATTACTTCATGTCATCTTCACACCCCCAGAGGTTGGGTAGCCCTTAGTATAACCATTTTTAAGATAAGAAAATCTGAGCTTAGACAGGCAGGAATGTACCCAGGACCAAAAATGTGGACTTTTTCATTATATTAGTACCTCCTAGAATTCTTTATAATTGTGTTACACTTCACTTAAAGAAAAGGTTTTTAAGCCAGACATAGTGATGCATGCCTATAAGGAGACAGAAGATCATAAGTTCTAGCCTAGACTGACTTAGGGAGACCCTATCTTAAAAAAAAAAAAAAAAAAGAGATTTAGACATTAGCTGGGCATCTAAAAGAATGGAAAAGAATGGTATCAGGAGAAATATGCAACACAAAGGGTGTTTTTTTCTCCCCTAAAAGTCTTGGTCTTTGTAACACCATCACCTGCCACAAAGAACACTACTACAGGTGATGAAGTGATGAAAGCCCCAGGAAAAAGCTTCAAACATCCAAGTCAGCTCTCTCCTGGGTGAGTATCCTGCAGTGGTTTCCTTATGCATCAGCACCGCCACTAGAAGGTGAAGCTGAGATGAACAGTGGTATCTTCCACCTTCAACCAGCACAGTGGCCTGCTGAGGGAACGACTCTGTGGTGAGTGATCAGTCAAATCAGCTTTGGCCACAACTGATTATGCCCACAAGGAGCTACAGACCAGGAACTAGACGGTGAGCAGAGACTAGACACTGGCTTCAAAGAAATGGGCGCACTTCAAGGCATTACCCAAATCAAGTTAGTTCCATCTCCCAACAAATTTTCACCACAGCTCCACTATGAAGAGGAATGTTCTTAATTCTATGGTATTTTCTTTCACCAAATTCCATATACAATTCTACTATGAAGAGGTCATATGAAAATAAAAGTGGCTGGGCATGGTAGAGCATGCCTAATAATCCCAGCGTTCTGGGAAGCTAACACAGGATAGCAAGTCCAAGCCAGCCAGGGCAACTTTGCAAGAGCCTGTCTCCAGGTGATAAATGGAGAGTACAGGGGATATAGCTCAATGGGAAAGCCCTGGGTTCAATCCCTAATACCTTAGGAGGAATTCTGTTTTGAAAGTGCAGCACTGGTTCCTCTATTAATGTTCAGAGAACTTTAGCAGGCTATCCTTTTCAGTCTTCAAATACATCAAGTTCTTTCCTGTTTCTAAGATATTTTCACCTGCATAACCCTCTGCTGTGCCTTCACTTATTTGTGGGATCAACCTAAACATCATTTCCTTAAGGAAGCCCTCCCTGACCCCTGAACTCTAGGTAATATAACCTTTTCTTATATACAAAACAAGATGATTTATTCCTGTAGTACTTGCTCATGATAACCAAAAATTTATTCATGACAGTTATCTCCTTTGTATGTTCTGTCCCTCCCCTACCCCAGAGAATGTAAGGGGAGAGGACTCATCTTTTCTATTCTGCTCCCTACCACCTCACTCTATCTATAGCTCCTAAAACATTCTTGCCCATAGCAAATAATAAATAGTAAAGACTAGTTCCTAAAGTGTAGAAATTTTATCATTATCCATTCCTGTATCCCCAATTATCTCTCTCCTGATGCTAGGAAAATGGCTATTTATTAAAAAATTTAATGTTACCATGAAATATATGGTGCTTAGCCAAGTTCTTTGGGGATAATGACACAGTTATCTGTAGTTTTAAAATGTTAACTAAGGTTACCATTTCTTGTCAAATACCATCAAGTTCATGCCCAGCCTTGCTCTGTGATCCTACCTCCTATGATGGGATCCACAGGATGGAGAAGCCCCAGTGTTGTTGTTCCATCTGGTTTTCTCCTTTCAAATTCACACTGAAATGAATCAAAATATTCAAACAGAAAAAAGTTTTATACATTCCACATATTTATGTAGCACTAGAAAGCTTTAATCAACATAACAGTGTAGGCTGAGTATAGACTTATCATCATTCTTAAATACTGCCTTTCACAACTGTCATCTTGTACACAGGTGCCGCTGTGCCAAAGAAATGGAGGGTAAGGGGAAAAAAAAAATGGAGAGTAAAGAAATTTTGGAATTTTAAAGGGGTACATAGGTCCTTCAGGTCAACCTGGTTCTTCCCAACTATCAAAAAAGTCATACATAAATTTACTTAGCTTGAAAACCAGTATGTTCAACAGTATGATTTTCAAAAGGCCAGAATATAACTGTTTTCTTAGAAGATTAAAATAAACCATGTGATTCATTTTCCAATTTTAAAACATATTAATTTCACTAAATAAAACCCCTTAGTGATAGAGAATTAAGAGTCATGATACACTTCATAAACAAATATATTAATTTTTCTTCTCTGGAGTGTTATAGTGACAAAAAGCTCTATGGCAGATAAGAACTAAAAGCACAGGAAAAATTTAAATGCTAACAGTTTTTGAGGTCAAAGGGTGGAGAAGGAAAGGAGGCCACTCACCTGGCTGTTGGCTGGTCGTCGGGTCAGCTTCCCTCCTGACTCCTGGACAGCACGGTCGATCTGCTCCTGATCCCTTTCTGAGTTGCTGCTTCTCCATTTATCTTCAAACACATCTTTGTCTTTCCTGAAACACACATTAAGAATTAAAAAAGGAGGTGAAAGCATCAGAAATGGAGACATATTACTGTTATTAAAGCTTTGTTTTCTAGTGACCTAGTACAAGTCCTAATGATGAAGAAACAGGCAAATATAATACAGTAGTTACTTTTCTTTTTTTGTTCAGTGTTAACCTATCATAAATGTTTTCCTAGGTACTTTCACAGAAAAGAATTTTACTTCACACATTATTTTGGAGGAGGAGGAATATACATTTTAAGTTCAATTTTAAAAACTGAAATCTAAAACAGACATTTAAAGTACAGTATGTAAACCTTAGAAACAGAACAGACACTTGCTGTACAGGTCAAGCAGAAACTTCAAGCTCTTAACTCTGACCCTCCCCTTCCCCAGTCACAGTATCTGCCTTTTTTGATAGTTAGGAAGAACCAGGTAACCTGAAGGACCTATGAAACGCTATAAAACCCTATGGTTGACAGCGAGATGTTGGACAGTGGGTCATGCCAGGACCACCAGTGGCTCTTCATTGAGCTTACCAATGACAGGTGGGAAAAACACGAACACTTCTCCATGGCGGCCCATCTGTTTAAGAAGCAGCTTTCAGAGAGCCCAACTCTTTTCTCTTTACGGAATGAGGCAATGAATATACATTTTTTCTTAAACAAATAGTTCTATTTAAATAAACTTCCTAACAATGAGTCCCTAGTGATTCATTCACTGGCTTTAAAATTACTTTAGTAAGAAATGCACATTCAGAACCGTCTTCTGAACTGTTCAGACAATTCCATATACAGGAGTGCTCTGTAAAAGGGGTATGAGAGCATCAAGGTGGACTTTCATGCCAAGAAAAAGCCAAGTGATACATGGAGACTTGATTTCCCCCAGTCATTCTCTCAACCAGTATCCCTCTTTTCCTTTTATTAGATCAAAAGGGTAGTTTAACCTTAATATTCCAGAATTCCTTACTTTTTATTGTCCTTACTGGGATTTCTGAAGGCTTGTATGTCAGGGTCTAGAGAGCTGTCCCGCTCTCGGGGCCAGCAGCCACTGTCCTCTCCACTCTGGGAGGCATCTGCTCTCTCTCTCTGCTTTCGGGTTTTCTGCAAGTCGGCCATGAACTCTATGCTCTGCTTCAGGCTTTGAATTCTTTCCTATAAATATTCAAAAATATTCTTACTGTATGGTTATCACTAACTTTTAAAGTAATGCATTTTTCTCCCACAATTTTGCACTTACACTGTCATTAACTAGGGAAGAAAAGTAATAAAATATAATTATACCATAAGAGTATAATACTTAGGGACAAGATCAATAAAGTTCTATATTCAATTCAGACCACCTAATTTCCAATATGAGAGAAAGCTTTATAGCTTTATTGCACTATCAGAAAGTTAACAGAAGAGTAGGCGTGAATTAAGACTAGTCTTTGTAGTAATGAGTTTAAAAAGTAAAATTTAGTTTAAAACTATGTTAAAAGTTTATAATTAACAGTCTGCTTTACTTTGTGAAATCTAAGAGTGATTAAGTATTTAAAACCTGAAGCATGTGAAGAACCTTTATACTCATATCCTATGGTGATCACTGCCGACTCTGGCATTTTCTCTGTGTGAAAATGACATGCCTTAAGGACAGTAAGTGGTTGCTAGTATAGTTCTTTCTCAGAGCGCACAATGTTCTTACCAATCAAAGACATCTGTTTCTATATCGTAAAGCATGTACTTACCTTTCTACTGTGACAATGTACTGTGAAATTTTCACTGTGGTTTAAGGGCTTGAGGTTTTTGGGTAAATTTTAAAGAGGTAAGTTTTGTTCCTACAGATTACCTCTACCTTTTTTTTTTTTTTTTTTTTTTTA